GCACCACGGGCTTCGTAAAAGATGGAGAATATGGCTAACTAAATTTTACAAGCCACAACCCTTCTATAGTGTCTGTTCTCCACTGCAAAACCTTCAGTTGAGCTTGCAATTTATTTTGAAAAAAGTTAGCATGTTTTTAAATTATTTCAAAAGAGACTGCTCCAGTCCCTCTAACAAGCTTTAAAGGCCATTATGCAAGAACACAAGCAGCACAGAGTCTGCAAAAAAACTGTTGCTAAAGGTTGTGGGAAGATATAGCAACAGCTCAGTAGTCCATTTATGCAGACTAATGGCTCAAGGTATTTTATTTAGGCACAAAGCCTACTGTCCAAAAATACAACAAAAGTTAGATCTGATCATTCAGAGGGCTCACAGGGCCCTCCAGAAAAACAGCTCAACTTCAGAACAGAGGTTTGGGTGACAAGGTGCATCCCGCTGATTAAAGTTTCTACCCTGCTTAAAGCATATTCTTCAGAGTGCTAGACCAATGTGCTTTGGGGGTGTTCGGTTACCACTCGAGAACTAAATATATAGCCTGACAAGTGAAGGCTTCTTGAAGCTCAGAGGGGCATTATTGTAGCTGGTTTCCCATGCTTAATGTTTATTGTTACAGTCCTTGCAAAAGAAATGTGATGACTCATTGTTTGAGTGGTGTCCTTGAATCACAGAGCAGCAAACTCCACCACCCAGCTTTACACTGCTCTTTTAAGATACCCCCCCAATCATTTTGTGCTGTCAGCCAACTCCAATCAAGTACAGTAGTTCAAGTACTCATGGCACAGCATCAGCCCATATTATAAGATCCCAATATTTGGATCCAAACTTGTTCATAGCATAAACCGGCAGTAATTTGCTGCTACACTTATTCTACCTTTTGTTATTTAGACCCTGGCGCCTACTTGGTGATCCCTGGCCCAAAACGTATTCGGCTGTCCTCAACCAGAGCCAGGGCCTTCCTGACCATAGTGCCCGCCTACTGGAACTCCCTACTGAATGACATCAGGGCCCTGCAGGACTTAATACAATAACGCAGGGCCTGTAAAATGGAAATGTTTTGGTTGCTTATGGTTGAGGACAGCAACGGGTTCCATCCAATGTTCCCTCTAAGCTGTGGAGTCTCATGAGCAAAAATTCTACTTTGTGAGCTACTGGAATTAAAGTTGTGAGCGAGAGATTTGGCCCCTGCATCAATTAGTTTGCTCTGGAGCCATCCTTCCTGAACCAAGACAAAAATATGTGAGCCAGAGGCTAAAAAACTATGAGCTAGCTCACACTAACTCAGCTTAGAGGGAACACTGGTTCCATCTAGTCTACCTAGCCCCTCCCTTCTGCCCATGCGAAAGGATACTAAGCTATATATTTATGCAGCTCTTTGCTGAATAGCTTAGGTTGCTTTTGACTGTTTTTAACTTGATATTTGAATTGTATATTGGAAATGCTGTCCCTTGCCCTGAGCCCTGTTGTATAGGGGAGGGTGGGTTATAAATCAAATAAATATGCCCAGCTAGGAAATCTGTAACCCCTAATTCTCACAGTGGTCAATAAGGTACAAAGGCTTAATGTGGCAGGGTTGGGTTTGCACAACTAAAGGCAGCTTAACACAAGTAGTCTCTCTGAAGAATTTGAACTGAAGAAAGGTGTGAGGCTAGTCCTCCCCTCTGAGGGCTACAACTGCATTTACTGCCAACCAAATGCCACTGAATTCCACTTACACTAAGATATTAACCATAGGTTTACTCAAGTACACTTGAGGAGCATGGTGGCTGTCAGGAAAATATGATGGCTTAGAATTTACGGCAGTTAGACAGCTTACTTCAAAGCAGCTTGTTGTGCCATCTTTCCCAGTTCCGGTATTTTCTATCAATTTCTATCTTATCAGGGCACCGCGGGTGCTTATAAAAGAACAGAAAAGTCATAGCTTAGAGGTTTCTTAATTTATTGAACATGTAAAGATGCTGTTTCAGTTACTGAGTCCCCTGGACACTTCCTCTGTATTTAGGATCAGCTTCTTCCTGCAAAAGGAAATTATCAGCTTCTTCCTGCAAAAGGAAATTACAAACTTTATTAAGAAAACAATATGCATGTATCTGCTGCCAACAATAAGAATAAATGAATTTTCGCTCTATACATTTATGTCCATCAATAGGATTTAAAATTGATTTTAAATGTAAATCAGAACAATCTTTTGCTCTTACTACACTGCTAATACACTACTAAATACTACCATTTATGATATCATTTTACATTTAATTCCTTGAATTTCAGCCCAGAATTATGGAGGCTACAGAAACAAACTTTGAGATTTGACCAGTGGTCTTTTAAATCTGAAATTTATGCCATACAACTCATATGAAAAGAAAGGCCTACCAGGACTTACAAATATCCAGCTCCAAACTTAAACTCTTATGCATAACCTATTTGAAATTCAGTCTGAAAATCTTATTACTATTATCAGATAAACTTAGGATATTGCCATTTTCAAATAGAAGTATATTTACTTCAATATTATACACTTTCATGGACATTATACTTCAATTATACCAGGGGTCAGCAACCTTTTATAATTGAAGAGCCAACGTCAAAATTCAGAGCAAATGATCAAGACAGTCGAATAACGTTCATTTGCTCAAAAAAAAATATACAACTTAGAACTACTACTGAGACTCTGATTAATGAAGTTTCCACAACACTATCACTAATTATTGCAAATGTTTTTATTAGTGTCATCAATAAGTATTCTTTTCATAAACCAGCATAAATCTGTGAATGGTTCGCACTTGGATTCCTGGCAACTATTGATCTTTTTCATTTCCCTTTAAAGCATCCAAAGCAAGCCTCTAGTTCCCTAAAAATCTGTGCCTGCCATTCCATTCACATTTTGATTATTTTAGTACTCCATGTATCCCTCATATATACCACATTAAAAATTTCATTTTCCTCAGAAGAGCCATATCTGGTTTCAGAAGGCTGATTTAGTATCAGCTAATTTTACATAACTTATCATTAGGGAAGCAATTTGCCAGACTCGGTCCTAACCTTAAAAAAGCCTATCTGCTACTTACCTATTCACCATTATGTATGACTTCTCCCATTCTCCATCATCTGACAGCTGTCATCTACTGGCCTATGTATTTCTGGGGGGGGAAATGCTTGAATTATCACCTAAAACAAAGTATGTCTCTCCCCCCTCCCCATTTTGAGCATCTTTAAAAATGGATTTTTATAGTTAATAACTAGTTTAATGTAGAATAACCTTCAAAGTAAGCCACTTCAGTTGGGTTTCATTTACGTAACTGACACTATTTCAACAGGAATGCTTCATGTCAAAGAAAATTCAGTATTAAGCAAATTCATCTAATTAAAACCAGTCAATTAAAAAAAGTGGTCTCCCCATATAATTAGTCTGATGGACAGTATTCCACAATGTAACCTAGACCAGTTTCCGCCAAAATGTTCAAGAATTACTACAATGAGAGTTAATGTTTCAGATTTTATTAAATACTTGCTGCCTTTCAACTTCTACAGCTTTCTAATGTTTATTGTTACATTTCCAAGTTGTGTTTGGAGGGCATTTGTGACCTCTGGCATGTGGGTTGGGAGGGCCTAAAATCAATACCCTGAAAAGCGTACTGCTTATTTTCCACATATATGACCCAATAAAACCATCAATGGGTTGTTTCTTCAGCCAAATAAATTTGCAACAGCTTAAGGTTTCAAATCAACTAAGGTCCCTGCCACACTGGCAAAGTGTGGCTTTTGAAAGCTGCACCAAAATAGAGACACAGCGGCGGGATCATACAGATTCCATGAGCCACCACGCAATCGCTCCCCGGCATGATCAGATGCCGGGGAGACTGGGGAGAAAGCGACGGGAGGCTGCCGAACTGCGCATGTGTGAGCATGTGCAGTTCGGCCAGGAGCCAGGGATGCGCTGGCAGAAGGACGCGCCGGCGATCCCACGGCCGTGCTTGCCCCGGCTGTTCCGGTAAGACCTCCTCTGGAGGTGGTGTATGTTTGATGCGGGTTTTCGGCTGGAAGGGCTGGATCGGGGACGGGCGCGCAACGTTTCCCAGATGTTGCGGTGGGATCGCGCCCGTTTGCTGCGCCCCCGATCCGTCCCTCTCCCGGCCCAAAACCTTTCGTGTGACCGGGGCCTGAGTCCACTATTTCTTTCTTAGAAGCAAGACTCCACTCAGAGGCCAAAGTATACAACTTAGCTTCCATATCTGGTTGATTAAGTTAATCAAGGAACATGGTAAGCATTGTTAGCCTCTTTTGCTGTGTTACAATACCATGTCCCTTCCATCTTGGATCCAGGAGATGGTATACCTGTATAAGTACATATGAATTCCCTTGGATCCTGAAACAAAGAAGACTCCACATATGAGACCATAATGCTCAATCAGATCACAACTATGCTTTTCAAAATGTGCTCCCACAGCATGTTAAATTACCCTCTCAAATGCTACTTGACCAATACTGCAATATTAATGTTAATTAAGACTATTAAAGGAGAAAAGCATTTACAGCTTTGTATAAAGTCTATGAATTCTGCAGATCAGAAGACCCTCTTCAAGAAGACCTTTTATGAAAATAATGTCTTACCCATGTTGTACCAGCATTCTTGAGGACCTGATGCACTATTCATTTGCCCATTCTGCAACATTAACATCACACCTTGGAGGATCAAGTGTGAGCCTAGAGCAAACTTTATCTAAACTCTGCAGGGCTTGTGGGTCTGTGTGGCCATGAATGATGTTCAGTTTTGATATTTTTTATATGCAAACAATACATTTTTTGTCTAATGCTATTGTTATGGACATGAATATTACCATATGTATATAGGGTAGATCGAGCTATGAACAGCTCACACTGTTACATTCTTCCTGAACTCTATGTGACCACATTCATCTAAAACTGTCCTGCCTACATGATATTCTTACCTCAAGAAGCAGCACTCTGGTTTCATCCACCAAGCATTACCTTCACCTAAAGAATAAGAAATGAAGTTAGTAGGAAAATACATACAACCAAGTTTCTGAAAATGAATATATTTAAACAGAAAAAGAAATTAATCTACAGATTGGTAAACTGAGGGGAGCTTACAAATTATATCAGTACATTGGGAAGTATGGGGCACAAGTAGAAGCTGATTTTTTTTCCAGAGACTGGAACACAGGATAATGAACAAGCAAACTAGTCTTAAATTGTTTCTGAATCCCCAACTGCCAACCTAGCATATTTGCAGCAAGAGGTATGATACCCCTTCTTTGCAGATGCAAAGCCAATTACTTGGCTGCTTCACTGTATTGCTCCATCCATCCATCCTCCCATCCCCTCCCATGAAGCAAATCATCTCTGGTACTAGTTGAAAGCTAGTCCAAACACCCTCTGAACTCTTCACAATACAGATAGGAGTTTGAGTTTATTCAGCTTTCTACTACCTTGCTTTTCATTTGCTGCCCCCCTACTCATGTCTTTTCTGTGAGCCTCATTAAGGGCATACAGTGGGTGAAAACACAATCTTTAAACTGGCAACTGCCCTTAAAAAGGTGAAAGACACTACCAAGCCAGCCAATGTGCCAGTTTCCTCAAGTCCACATCTTGGCTTGATACTTTTGCAAAACAAAAAGGAACATATTTTGGGATATAGCAACAGAAAGGGTTTTTTTCCCATCACTAGCTAATTCACTTGCAGCCAACCCGTCCCACATTTCAGTGTTGGTGTTCAATGCCATTAGATATCAGATGGGGATTTGTATACACCATCATGAGCTTCCACAGGCATACTAATATAGCAACCCTTCTCTAACTGCAATGAGAGTGGGAGAAGGCCAATCCTCCCATTTCTCCCCCCCCCCTTCACTTAAAGACAGATCTGCAACTGACCTGTTGATTCCAACCTTGCTAGCTGCGATGGTGGAAAACAACCAATGGTCCAAACAAACCTAAAAAAGTACATTCTCTTCATATTGAGCCTTGTTTAGAATAAGTGACCACAGGCTTCCCTGACCTGCAAGCAGTCAGCTCCCAGTTGCTCAAGTGGTCTTTAACTACTGTTTGGGAGAAAACTACAGCCAATAGCAGCTTTGCAAACAATGAAGTAAAGCCTCCCTCCCCCCACAAGGTAAGAAGTGCTTCTCTCCTGACAGCACCAGTTATCAGAACTGATGGCCTAGCACATTACGTATTACGTATTCTGGCATCACACTTCTGAGCTTCTGAAATCAGCTTTTGCAAGCAATCAAAATCATAAAAAGAGGTGGGGAAAAGGTTAAAAAATGGAACACAATGCAAGCACTTTTAGTTATTTCTCATGCCACTTATACACAGTGGTACTTTGAGCAGACAAGGATTCTTATTTTACTGTTTGTCGTTGCAGTTAAATACGTAGCCCCAATGCCCTACTCACCTGCTTTAAGTGAGAGATACTAATTCCAATTACATAGAGCTAATGTATTAATCTCACACACATTCAGTAAATCCTTGGCATACTACACAGAACTAAGCAGGCTCTTAACTCATTTAAATAGCACCCACACTGCCATTTTGTTTATTTTTAAAATGTGCTTAAACTAGTGGAGGTACTTTATTAAGCTTTCGTGATGGACATTACTAGTTTCATCCATTCTGACAGGATTTTAAAGATACTTCTCAAACTTCAAGACACAGAGGACTGGACTGTCCAGTCTGAGAACTGGTTACTGATTATAAAAATTCACTGTTGAAACCTGCTCATTAAGTCCCTTTTCTTAAGATAAAGCACCCCACTTTGAAACAAGTACTCTTTAACTCTAAATATACACCGTAAATATGTTACTAATACAAGCAGAACAAGCCTTTCCTCACTGAACTAGGTTTCTTGTGCTTTGGCCAAGAACCATATCATATGAAAACACTTTAAAGACAGCAAACTCCGCTAACTAGCACAACAAAGCCAAGACTTGGAGGGCAATTAGGTATGCAACCCCACCATGTATTTTCACCAATGCAGCTTTTGATAACGTGTATGAAACATGAAAAGTGGGAGTTCTCCATTCTTCAGTGCATCACATGAACACAAAGTTGCATCACATGAACACAAAGTTGCATTATACTCAATCAGACCATTGGTCCTTGAAGGTGAGTATTGTCTACTCAGATTGGCGGCAGCATTCCAGGTTCTCAGGCAGAGGTGGAGTTCTCTCACATCCCCTGGTACCTGATCCTTTAACCAGAGGTGCCGGGGTTTGAGCCAAGCAGATGCTCTACCAGTGAGCCACATTCCCTCCCCCTATCATTTGACACAACGTAAGAGCCAACATCCCACCACCCAAGTACATTACATAACTGATCACTAAAGTTACAAGTTCTATTTCCTAACCACCAAGTACAGTAACTGTTTACTCCCCATGGAATATTTACCAATACATTCATCTGCATTGCCAAGAAAGGGCTGTAACTGACTTTTGCCATGAGTCTAGTATGCATTAATCAGAGTACTTATTGTATGACCAAATAGCACCTTTAGATTAGTTGAAGTTATTCACAGACTCCCTTTCCCTTCCCACAAAGCTCTAACAAAATGTCTTTGGCACACAGCAGTGATGGAAACAAGCCATATAAACGAAGGAATCACGGGTCTGAGGCATACATCTGAGCATCATAGTTAGCTTGCCTTCTGCTGACTGCAGGTTGTGCCTCAAATCTAAGTATCATAATATCACACAGTACAAGCAGTGCTGCACTGAAATTCCATGGTCAGAAGGGTGATGCCAGAGTACCCCCACAGCAAAGTTACACAGAAAGCCACCAAGTTAATTATAGTGCTTTTTACCTACCTGTAACGCAGGCGACAATGAGAATCTCGGAGCAAGCAGGAATACTACATCCGGGTCCTAATGTCCACTGCCACTTGTGGTACTACGTTCCTCACAGTTATGCACTGCAGAAATGCTGTCTAAGTGCTGTTACGTAGCAGGCCACTACTTTTAAAGAGTGTCAAATTGCAGTCTCAAAAATCCAGCAAAAATGCCGCCACAAGTGGTTGCCAAGGAGACGCCAAGAACTTTTTAAACAAAGATACCACAAAATACGCACAGAAACAGAAATTCATCTTTTCGTTATCAATGGTAAGCATGTGTTCACAGCATGCTAATGGTTTTCTAGGTAACAGAGATGTGGAAACATGAGAAGAATCTGGGATTTGTTATCAAGCCCCTTTTAGGATGGGACCAGAAAAGGTTAATGGGCAGCAACACGTGGAATACTGCACAAATGTTAGGCCTATAGTGGCCTAAACTCTTAGATTATGAATGGAGGGGAAGCGTCTAACTAAATGGAATGTCCAGTTCAGTGATAACTCACACTGAAGCATTAGGCTCAGAAACTTGTTACTCATCCTGATTTTAACATGTACCCCAAGTCAGGCTACAAGTATTTTCAAGTGTGGACATGTCAACAGCACTGATCAGAGTCTGCATCTGCCAGATACAAGGTCAGTTTTAGGAAGAATATTAAGAGATGAACCTGAGGAAGGTAATATGACAATCAGCCTCCTTCACTCTTCAAGGTTACAATACTACAAGAGAGCATGGTTTAGGATATGGGCCAGCATCATATGGAAAAATGGCATGTAATCTGAAAAATAAACTGAAAATTAGTGCCCATGTCCAGGTGCCCCACCGAGTCAGTCTCAGAATGCCCAATGTTGGGTGTCCCAAGGACACCACTAAGAAAATTATCTTTGAGTTTATGTCCCTAAACACCATGCAAGTGCAAGTTCCAATTTCATTGTATTGCATATAACCTCTTCTCTTTCTCTACACTGGTATCCAGTGCCAAGAACTGTGTTCTTCCTACAGTTCAAATAGGAACTGAGTTTGTGTCTAACCTAAATGGTTCAAGGAAATATACCTCAAATCCAACTGCAACACTAAATTAAGTGACTATTATTCAGCGACCTTGTCCATCAACAACTGCATTCTTGCATTTAAATTTTTTTGCTTAGCATATAGCTTTATGCCAGTAGGTTGCATAGCCAACATGCTTAGGAGCTGATGGCACTAAAGCTTTTTCCACACAAGTTCAGTAGTTCACAGATAGTCCATTCTTCCCCCCAAACAGAAGGGAACATGTGAGTGATTAAAAACTACACAATACTCAGAAGTGCTGAATGAAAATACACCCATACTTCAATGCACAGAACTGTCTCCAAGCAGGCTGATCTTCCTTTCATCAACCCATAGTGCACTGTTATCCTGGGAAACTGGGCTCCCAGCATCTCAGGCACCATCCGCGTACAGCATCAAGGACACCTTACAATCTTTTTTAAAAAAACAAGTGATGGATGAAAAATTCAAACCCTCCACCAGATTCAATGTAAGTTTATTTGTGATATATAGCCCTAGCGACAAAGATCCAATTTCAGTTGTAGTCTGGCTCCCAAGAGTCAAGTTCACCTGGCAAACTATCATTACAGTGCAAGACACTACATTACTTTTATCATAACCCTGTAGTTTCAAAAGGATACTTTTTTCCTCTGCACTCCCACTTCCAAACGACACCAGTTACAAAATACAAGTACCCTCCCATACTCAGCATTTCTGCCAAGCCATTTTTTTAAGCCTAATCCTATACACTGAGCCATGTTACGGGAACCTCACACTGAACAATCCTTTACACGACCACTCAATAGAAGCCATGCTTTGATTTATGGAACCTGGAATGGAGAGGTTATTAAGACCTCCAGCAACGAATGCTATGAGGAACCTGCCAATGCATTCTCTTCCTCCCACCTTGCTTTCACTGCAGGGCTGAATTCTATGTGTCTGCAACATTTGACAGTTAGTTTTATGTGCCATTAGTTTTATGTGCCATCACCCCACCCCTGGCTTCTTTACTGCAGGGCACTTAACACCCCAAGTACCTAAAAATCAAGATCAAATACTGGTTGTGCTTCTGGACAACTTAAACTACAGGAATATTGGAAAGGGTAAGACTACACCTGTATGGTTCCTTCCACTGTAAATTAGGTCTCAGTATTTAATATTAAGCAAGTAAGTCAGACATTTTATGGCACAGTGGCTTCTGGCTATAGAGCATGCCAGACACATGGTTTCTGTTCCAACCACCTCACTGCATGTTGGAGGGTAAGAGCATCACTGCGTTGCATTCGTGGAACTGTGAACGGCAAGTTTACGATTAAGAATCATTACTACATTTAGTCTATTTATTTTAAGCACAGTAAAAATGTTTACACGTGGGAATTCAAATGGCACACAGTACACTGCCATCAAGGTAGGGATGTTATACATCAAAAAAGCTAAGTTTTGAACACTGCATTACATAATTAGATTTTTCTTGCCCCAATTACTTACAAATCCTAAGTCATTAAGTTTCTAACATCCATAAAAACGTAGCTTTCTCACTAAAATGCAAGAATTAAAAAAAAGTATTGTCTAAACAAGACCAACAAAACAAATTGGAATGAAAATCTACATGTTACATCTAAAATCGGGGCTTTTTGTTTGGGCCTTCATATTCTTCTCTCCCTCTCCCATAAGCTGCTGGAGTTCCAGGCCCCATTCCTCTAGGGCCCTGGCCACCTACAGGCCCTGCACCACCCTGCCCAAATCGCTCAGGACGCTATTGGAACAGTATTATAACAGTTCATTATGTGTAGTTGATGTCCATGTGTATTAAGTATATATTTTAGAAGGTTCCGTAGTCAACGTTCGTCGATACAATCACCATTGAGACGATCCACAGGTACCGGGAACATAGAAAGGAAAAAAGGGTAATTTAATAATTAGTTGATTTTAATACATGCCTTGAGGTATGTTCCCAACTTGATCCATTCTCAAATACCTGTTTCAAGCAAACAGATACACCCTGAAGTGCTAAAAATGCAAGCATTAGTTTAGGCTTGAACCAAGAATCCTCTCAAAAGGAATTCTATTGATTGGCCACTTTTAATTGTTCTCTGTAGTACAGTGCAAAGCTTTCTAACAAGGCTCAAGTAATCCTAGCTAAGCCTAGCCTAGGAAGGCCAGGTTCATCTTATTGAAACACAAGCTTATCTTGGTTAAAGAAGATGCCCACTCACCAGTTAAGTGTACAAGACTGTCTCATTTGTGAGGACTCAAGATTACGTTCTGCTTATTTAAAAAGCAAAAATTTTCAGAACAAAGTCAAGTAACAAAGTACAAGGAATAACATGAGTCTAATCACATATTTACCTATCCAAGACAAAACAAAACATGAAATGCTTGCACACGGTTGTGCTTTAAATAGTTCAATTTTAATAAAGAGCCCCCTGGGGCCACCTCAACAGATCATGAGGTTTTGCAAGAAGTCCACTATGACTCTGCAGTTGCCAAATTATTTCAGCTAGTTGCCGCACACCCATAAAAACAGAACAAGATTGCAATACAGCACACTTTTGTTAAGCTTGCCATCTTATCTGCTGTACCTTCTGCTACCAAGCTATCAGGCATGAAGTAGAGTAATGGACTGGAAATGTTTAATGTTATATCAGTGCTCCAAGTTCAACTTAAAACTTCAGTTTTATACCAAAAGGCTTTCAAATTCACTACAGCTTACTATAAAGCCAATTCACTCAGTCTGGTTTCTTAACAGGCAGGCTACCTGTTTGAATGAGTCCCTGAACCAGATACACATACAGATGTACTATGCAAATGGATCGTGCCCCCAATTTTCTCCACTGATCCTATGAATCAAAATCTAAATTCTAAAAGGTTGCAATCATGAAATCACTGATGATCCAGCTGCATGCCTGAGCCACCCATTTGCAAAGGTATCCAATTCTGGGAGTCAACAGAAGTACGGTATTCCTACCATGTGAACAAGCATCATGGTCAGATTTCCTTTAACAACTGGCTACAGTTAAAACTGCCAATTTAAACTGCCAAAGACTTCTAAACATAAGATTTAACATTATTTTAGCAGTGAACGCACATTACTACATGCAAAGCACTGTCTCTTGGAACTTCAAGAGGCTGAGATTCAGGAGCACAAATTCCAAGCAACAATGGCTTTCAAAAATATGTACTATGTGTACTTGGATTTTTGAAAACATACATTTGGGATTTAACACACTACCCATTTCGTTACCATCTATGACTAAATTACAGGGTCGTTCAGCCAAGGGCACCATCTTGAGAATTAGTATCCAGAAAGCATTAGATTTCTTTTTATGAAAAAAGAGTGCTTTGTGAGCTACGAGTAGTTCACTTTAACAGGAAAGGCTCAATGCACAATTAGCCTTACCACCCCATTCCTGGCCATGATTTGGATCTATGTTAAGAGTTCATCTGTTCAGCAAGCTGAATTCCTACAACCATCAGACCACCGATTACATCTGGATTGCAGAAGAGATTTGCCAATTATCAGCACTGCTGCAGTGCTACTGCAGTACTCCAAGCAGGCCCAGAGACCATGCCACACATCTGTAGTGTGGATACAGATCTCTCTACAAATACCAGGATTATGAAATAAGGTATTTTTAAACAGCACCTAAACCTCTTGACCAATGAATTGTATACTTAGTCCTTTAACAGTCAAGGAGGGCAGTACATTAAGAACCTGCCTAAGAATGAGAACTACTTCTTTAATCTTCATAGGGAAACACCAATGTATACAATATGGTACACTGGCTTGCCACTGACATACTCACAACTCTCTACTTGCAACTAAATTCACTGCATTAACAACAAGCACAGGTATGAGCTTCAGAAGGTGCCTTAATCTTAACAACTGGTTTTGAAAGAGTGCTTCCATCCATGTTAAGTCTTCAGTTTTCAACTCTATGCAAAGTTATTTCAACCTCAGAAAGTGGAAGGTGACAACAAAAAACACTTCTGCTTATTAAACTAACTACAAAGCTTGTGCATTTTCCCAAACAAATGATATTTTCCCAAAATGTTTGCAAGAGTTTCTTCCAATCTTAACTGAAGAACTCTAACCCCAGCTGCCCACAGAAAGATTACTAATATCCACAGTAAAAGTGTTTAAGCAAACCCATTAACCATCATGACAAAGACTAGGCTCGCTTTTACACTGCCTAACGAGCCCAAGCTATTGCATTATGTACAATGGCAGAGAGAGAAGCCTAACTCAGAGCATAGATCATCTGGGTTCAAAACCAAGAAAGAAGAGTTTTACAGTTGCAAAATTGTTGGGTTATTGAAGTCAAGGTGCTGCAGGATACATTACCATGTCGCTCCCCATCATAGAGCCACTCATAGATGCTTGTCCAACTGCAGGACTGGTTTCATAGCCAAGGCCAGTACTACCTCCTAAAGGTGGGAATTTCTGAGCTGCAGCACCATAAGGATCTACAAAAAGAAATTTATGTGGTTACACAGAGAATTAATACCACCATATGTGCAAAAGGGTGCATGAAACACATACCTCCCATGTTCATTGTGCTGGTAGATCCATAAGGATCTACAAAAAGAAATTTAAGTGGTTACACAGAGAATTAATACCACCATATGTGCAAAAGGGTGCATGAAACACATACCTCCCATGTTCATTGTGCTGGTCCCGCCCATTCTCATGTCTCTCTCCCTCTGCAAAAAAAGCAAAGACGCAGTTCTAAAACAAGTAAATTGCTTAAAGTTCAGTTCTACTAATGTACTAAACCAGTGTAAGCTACAGAAACCAGAATAAAAAATTTAAAGTAATTCACAATGCCCACAAGACCATTTATGTAAGGAAGAAAACAGGAAAAATATAGAATTCCAAGCACAGAAGTCAAGGAAATATTCTGAATTCCTAGTGATCAGCATTAAATGCAGGCACCTGAGTAACTAGACTATTGGGATTCTTCCAGTCCTGACTTACAGGGTCCATATAACCCATTCTACTGTAACTTTCTTCCCTCTGTCTTCTCATTTGCTCTTCCATCTCACGCTGGCGGAGCATAATTTCCTCTTCTCGCCTACGGCGCTCTTCTTCCTGCCTGAAAAATTCATGTTGCCAATTAGACTTTAAGTATCATTGACTTCTGAAGATTATAATGCACTGTTAAGCATTCCACAAGCACTGCATTATCAGTTTTCCATTGATGTCATCAACTTACTAGACCATAGTCATTACACAAGATCCATGATGGTCAAGAGCATAACTAGATAAACACAGGCTAAAGCACCCAACTGGGAGTCTACACATTCTAAGTACTAAGCTAAAAATTACCTCAGCTGCATTTCTTTCCGTTTCTGCATCTCTTGATTGTGAAGTTCTTCCATGCGCCTCAGTTCTTCCTGTCGCCTCATCAGATCTAAAAAATAAACCACTGTATCAAGCTTCTTCAGAATCATAACTTAAGAGACGAAGTTGAAGCTATAGGAGTCATGTCCATTATCTAGAGCCAAGCCCAACACCATTCCTGAGGTTTTAGAGCTACAATTTCAAAAAGATTCATGACAGAGCTCACAAGAAGTTTGTATCAGCAGTGAAATCCTGTACATACACTAAAGCAATCAGTGGCTAACTGCCACAGTACTTATGTCTAAACATCTGCAACCACATCAGTGTTTGATAATCATTCTGCTTCTATATATGACAAATTAGCAACTGTTTGCAACCACTCGTGGCCAGTGGTTGAAAAATGGTCAGCGCTGAGGAACAACATTAAGTTAACAATTCAATAGGTAATGTGAAAATATTCTGTGCAGCGTAGTCAAGTGTATGAGACTGTAGCACACTGGCAAGAGAAGAATGGAAATATGGAAACATCAGTATGCGGGGGGGGGGGAAGGAGCAATCTAAATTGCATAAGGAATAACTCGCCAAAAATCTGTTCTAAGTACCTTGACGCAAGAGGTTTGCCTGATGCTCATGATAGGCATCTTCCATTTCACTTTCTAGCTTGTCCTTGGCATCTTTCATGTTTTTATCCACCTGGTCTCTTTGCTGTTTCTCCATTTCATCCAATGACTTCCACTGCTGCGAATATTCATACTCAAAACTTCCAGGTTGTGCAAAGCGTGGAGGAGTCTCCCTCTCCCTAGAAATCCACCATAAAACCCCCAAAACTATTAAGCACAAACTTTGTGCCAAAATATCACCAACAACATTAACCAAGCAACAACATTAAGCAATTCCTGTAATATACAAATGTATATGAACCTACTACAAAATAAAACTAAAGACTCCAAATACGCAAAATGCTATTACTACACACTTTACTTGACAACCGCTAATTTATCTTTCCTTATTACACCAGGATGCATGACTGTGGTGCCAATTTTAAAATATCTGTAATATAAAATGTGATACATGACATATAAACTCCATATAGGGTAAAGTGTGACACACTTTAACTACCAAGGTAAGCCACTTAAGATAAAAAAAAATACAACACCTTTAGTAAAACAAGCTTCCAATAAAAATTAAGCTCCTACACTGATCAGGGAAGTATCGATGTGCTTACTTTTGATACATTGGATTCTTCTGAGCCAGTTTTTCTGGAAGCCCATCTTCATCATCCAGCTGTTCTAGTGGCTCCACGACAACTGGCCTGGGAGTACTAATAAGGAAAAAAAATCCACTCTCTTCAAATAATGGCTTATCAACTCAATGTTTACTTGCTTAAAGTTTTCTCTGTCTCTCATGTATAACAACTGAGAAAACATGGTTAAGTGGTTAATCTACTCACGTTGTCAACAGAAACACTCCTTCAGAACAGCGTTCAAAAGCCTTCCGTGCTGCAGGCTTGGATGCAAATTCAACAATTCCTTTTCCAATTGATCTGCCACGATCATCGACAATTACAATTGCTCTTTCAATTGGGCCAAACTGAGAGAATGCTTCTTCCAAAAGTTCATTGGATACATATGGAGAAAGATTACGTATAGAGAGAGCAGCAGCATGCGTGGCGAAACGCACACGAAGCTGTCTTCCTCTCATAGGGATATCATCAAGTTCAGCTTTTGCAATTTCAGCCAGAGCTCGGGATTCCTACAGAAAGTTTCCCAACAACAAAACTGTTAGTATTTAAGCATGGAGCACCTAATAATCATTGAAATATATATATTATTTAATAATGCTTACCAGTTTAATAAATCCAAAACCTTTTCCCTTGTTGATGAAGACTTCACCAGGTTCACCATATTTAGCAAATAACCTCTTAAACTCCTCCTCAGTGATATCAGCAGGCAAATTCCCAACAAAAAGACGACAACGCTGAGTGTAGGTCTTCTCTCCAGGCCGCCTCAGAAGTGACAAATTGGCTTTAAAGCCCTAAAAGCAAATTAAAGATGGACATAAATTCCTAAAATGGATAGCTGTGAGATATGCAGCAAAGATTCACCAATTAGAAACCAATGCTGCAGGCTAGTATGAACCTGAATGAATTATTCATCTTTCTCCATATACATATTTACACATACGTTTTCATTGTTAATATAATCATATTCTCTCTTGTAGAAAGTCAGTACTCAACAACTTTACAGCTACACTATTTAAAACTGTCTTTCCCCATCTCCAGTTTGCTTACACAATAAATCACATCTAGACACCACTGGAAAGCTCTTTACATGGGCCTCTCTTGAGAGATCAGCTTTCTTCTCTGTGGTCAATAAAAAGCATCTATTCACAACATGAGAAAACCTTCTACCCCACTCAACTCATACAAGCCAAAAAACATACATTTGTTTCATTATCAAATGACTTGCACAACCACTCATACATTCCACAACCACAAATCAAGTTTTCCAGTTTTATTAAGCAGCACATTGAGAAGTTCTAGTACAACCTTTTTAATACAACATTCCCAACTATCATTTGCAATCCATAGCAGATTCAAGTCCATTGCTGACTTGAATCCAATGAGCATATTCATGGATTACAATATGTCTGAATGGCACAAAAATTACATCCAGCCAAATCTCTTCCTCAAGCCTTTCTATACAACATTGGTTTTGGCTCTTCTCAAATCCCAACTACAAAATGACTCCACATTAGCTGGCTTGAGGGTACTAAAAATAAAAAAAGTTTCATTCACTTGAAATACTGGGCGATAAAACTCAAAATTTACCCATTTTAAAACTTTCTATTGACACCATACTACTATGTCATTTAAAATTTACACTGTTGCCTTGCTGTATTTTATAAATAATCTCCAAGTACAAGAACAGATAAATATGATACGTGCCTATAACTATTAAAAACCAACCACAAGAATGTTGTATGAACAGCACAAAAATATAGATCATCTACTGCATTCTCACTAGCATAAATCACAACCCATAACTATTGAAAACTGATAAACTGCACAACCACAGTATAACTCCACCTTAATCTTTTGACTTGCTATTTTTTGCCTCACCACACACTCTTTATATACTGTAAACTCTGTAACCTCTTCATTGCTAAGTTCTAACAACAAGGTTCTATGCCTGCCTGCTATAGTAAAAAGTCCTCAGAATCAGCCCTCCTGTCTTGTTCAAAAAAAGAATGAAAAGCTCTCTCATCCACACCACTTCCACCAGATTTTAATTGCAGTCACTTCACAAGAACTCAGTGAATTATCTTGAAAGACCAAACTTTCCTGGTTTTAACTCGCTGTGGATTAGCTGCATCAGGAAGTGTGGCCTCTAATCAACAAACAGAGGAGTCTTTTAAACGTCATCAAGGCACTACAAGATAGTTGTTTTTACAACCACCTCCACAGTCACGATTAATATGATCAACAATCTGGCCCACAGAATTATAGAGCTGCAATGCAATGTTGGAAATCCCACTCAACCAGCAGACCCCCCCCCCCCCAGTTTTATGAATACTCAGCAAACATTAACAAATTTGTTTTCCTTCTACATCTTGTAGCTCCTGAAATACATTCAGTAGAGTGTGTGGTGGAGAAGAACTGATAAAAATTCATTCTCCTTTGGTTAATATATATTCTTATACATGTCTGTGGATAGAGAAGCCCTCTTTCACTTGGTTCTTAGAGCTAACTATTCTGCTAGTGAATAAGTTGTTTCCCACTCTTGGTTAACTTAGGAGTTACGAATCCTTATCTACGCGTATGAAAGAACAGAGCACTCTCAATTAGCTTACTGACTGTCATACAAACATAAAAGGCCTGCTGGCTCTGATCCGTGTTCCATCTAGTCCGACATCCTGTCCCACACAGCAGCCACACAGTTACTCTGGAGAACCAACAACAGGACAGAGACCGAGATCTTCCCCTGATTTTGCCTTCTGGCACTGTTATCTACAAGTTTAACTTCCACTGACGTACCTCTCCTTAATGAATCTAATCCCCGTGTAAAGCCGTCTGTGTCGTCACTACGTCCTCTGGCAACAAACTTTATTCTACACGGACAGACTCTTCCATATACCTAAAAACCCCGCTCAAGTATGAAGAACAGTCTACCTCAGTCTGTGGCTAGCCTGATTTTACCGATTATCACGAGGAAGAGAAAAAACGTAAACACTCCCTTTACGGGTTCTAAAGCGCCATGATAAATTACCACACTATAAGAATAAAGGTGTGTTAATTTCCTAAAAACCGCGTGAAAATACCTAAAAACCCGACGGCTCCTTCCCCGCACCGGTGACATTTCTCTGGCCTCCCTGGACCCACCCCCGCACATGCGCACACCGTCCCACCAAGATGGCGCCGCGGTGCCGCTCGCGCATTAAGCCACGAGCCTCACCGCCATCTTGTCCCGCTCGCGTGGCGAGGGCCTTCAAGCCGACTCCCGTCCCGCTCACCTCAGCATCTGACATTTTCTCCCCGCCGGGGCCTTGTTGTTGTTGCTGCTGCTGCTGCTGCGATGGGTGCTGATGCTGGCTTTGACCTCCTCGCCTCTCGCCGCCGCCACGGTGCTGCCCGGGGCCTCCGCCCTTCGGGCCTCCTCCTTGTTGAGGTCCTCCGGGAACTCCCTTCAGGCCGCCACCACTGCCGCCTCCGCCAGGGGACTGCCCGGGCCCTTTCTTCGAGCCACCCTGGCTGGGGCTCTGGGTTGGCGGCGGTTGCGGCTGCTGTTGCGCTTCCCCGCCCCGTCCGCCACTCTGGAGCCCTGACGTGGCGGCAGGAGCCGAGGAGGAGCTCGGCGTCGTGACAGCCGCGGGCGGCGGCTGCGAGGCAGTCTGGTTCTGGGTCGGCCCTCCGACGGAAGGCGACGATCCGGCTTGGACGGTGGAAACAGACGAGGAAGTAGAGGAGGAAGGCGGCGTGGAGCTCGAGCTGGGCGGCTTGGTGGGCGGCTCTGGCTTTGGAGGACCACCGAGGCCGCCGCCGCCGCCGATGTGGTGGTGCGCTCCGCGGGACTGGCCTATGCCACCCCCCATGCCCTGCGACGGGGAACGGAAATCATGGTTCCCTGGGAGGCCTCCTCTGCCTCCGCCGCCCCCGCGCCGATGAAACCCGCCTCCGCTGCCTCCACGGCTACGGAAGCGGTCTCTCGACATGGTGAAAATGGTGGCGGTTGAGAGACGAACGGCGCTACACACCTGGGTTTCTTTCCTGCCTTAGAGCCAGACAAGGCACAAAATGGCGACAGGCGATCCGAAGGGAAAAACGGCTTCGCCGCTTCCTTTGTCTCCCCTTTATATAGCCTCGCCCCTGAGTCGTAATGCCCGCCTCTTTTTCTTTTTTTGCAATAGGAAGCCGTTCCTTTCGGATTGATAGAAAAGCTAGCCAGTCAGCTTCCAACGTCGCGATCTCCGGATACATTAGGCTTGACACGAAACGAATACGTCAATAGTGGCTAGTAATTTAGCCAATAGGCGTCGAAGTTTGTGGCGCCTGGACTGCCAGAGGGCCGTTACCTTATATCCGTCGATGATTGGATTCTTTGGTCAGCAAAAGGCGTGGCTTGCCGTTGGAGCTGGCTAATCAAGGTTATGCGCGTAGAGTGGGCAGTCTCACTGCCTAATAGCGCGTGGGTATTCCTACCACGTGGTTTCGAATGGGTGTAACCTACTTTCTTTTATAATGGGTATTCTAAATAGTCTCAATACTATAGTGGTCCTTTGAAACCGAGGTCATATAAAAATTTGTTTATTCGTTTCTACTTTTTGTTGGCTATCCAGAAGGGTGTTTCCATAAAAATGTCAGATAAATATAAATAAACATTAAAAAAAAAAAGCTCATGTAATAAGCACTCAAAACTAGCCACGGAGCCTTGGGGATGCAGGGGGCACAGATTTGTGCTTCAGTATGCAAAGGGAACTAGGCCAGTCTCTAGGCTGATTACTGCTACTCTAAACAAGCAGGTCAGATTGAGGTGGGTGGCACATTAACTGGCACTCCAACAATGACAGTCTTGTCAACCTCTTGGGCTAATTGGTATCTCCTTTCCAGAAGGCATTTCTTTCTCTCCCTCACTCACATATACACAAAGATTGAAGCAATCCTCAGGGATACAAGCAGCTTTCTGGGACCAGATATGAACCAGTTCTAGGCATTTTGTTACATTATGGAGGTAGGCTGCTATATGGGAAAGGAGCAGAGGTGGGTTCAATTAACCATGTTTTCCACAAAGGGATGAGTTGATGGGGTTTTCCTTTTTTAAAAAAAATACACTTTATTAAATTTTTTAAGGTTATATGGAGTAGGGAAGAGAAAGGAAACAAAAAAAAGAAACTCTTCTGCATACAAATCTTCAGTTATCATTTCAAATTATCAAAAGGCTTCTTCATATAATATTTTCAAAATATTTGTATATTTATGGGGGGGTTTTATCCAGTCGTAAAAAGGACTTCATATTCCGAAGAAATCTTCCATTTCTGCAGTTTCCATAATCTTCACTATTAAGTCAAAGTTCTGAAGCAGGTCTGGCCCACTCACTGGGTGAACTAGACGTTCGCCGAGGAGGAGGAGGAGGAGGAGGAGGAGGAGGAGGAGGAGGAGCCCCGCCCTTCACTTGGAGTTTCAGAGTGGTTTACAGTCTCCTTTCCCTTCCCCTCCCCACAACAGACACCCTGTGAGGTGGGTGGGGCTGAGAGAACTCTGACACAAACTGCTCTTTTTCAAGGACAGCTGTGCCAGAGCTTGTGACTGACCCAAGGTCACATCAGCAGGTGCATGTGGAGGAGTGGGGAATCAAACCCGGTTCTCCCAGATTAGAGTCCGCACACTTAACCACTACACCACACTGGCTCTGCATCGCCCTGACTCCAGCCGTTGCCACCACCTTTTTCTCTCCCCGACCGCCCTCCCTCCTTCTGCTGGGCTGGGTAGGCAGGGATCCATCCTCTGCATGTCCTCAGAGGCACCCCGTTGGCTCGCTTCGTCACACCCCCGCCTCCTCCCTCCTGCTCAGCGCACCCCTTCCCCCTGAGGCACTGCTGGGGGGGGCAGGCTACAATTCCTGGGGTCGGGCACAGGGCGCCCAGCCTGTGTGCCATGCTGCCACCCTCCTCCTCCTCGGGCTGGCTTCACAGAGCCACCTGACCTGCGCTCACTTCCACTCAGTGCATGCTTGCAGAGGAACATTGGGAAGTGCAGCTAACAATTTTGCCCAGACAAAAGTGCCCAGATCCACTCCCCACAGCTGGGACTGCGCCCCCTCCCCCCGCCCCTTGGCTCAGGCTGCAACCTCAGCCGGCTGCTTTCCCTGGCAGCCAGCAGCCTGAGGTAAAAAAAACGGGGTCGTTTATGGGGATTTGTGTCTCTGAGCAGCCTCTCTGCCTGCAGCACTGAAAGGGCTAAAGTGAGTGTGCTGCATGCATTGCTAGAGGGGCCGAGCAAGGAGGGGGTTGAGAGGAGGAGGTATTTTCTGGGTGGGGGGAGGCTTTGCAATTGCGTGGCCAAAGAGACCAAGGAGGTCTTCAGCCAGATCTGCAATGGGAGCAAAAGAGCCTTGCAGCCAGATGCCAGGAAGGTTTACTCACAAGTCAGATCCTACCTGCGGTTAAGACACTGAACTGCAGGCTGTGGAAGGTTGGTAGTTCAGCAGTTCGAGACCCAGGTGCCGCATGATGGAGTGAGCACCCATCTCTAGTTCCAGCTCCTGCCAGCCTAGCAGTTTGAAAGCAAGAAATTGCAAGTAGATAAATAGGTACCACTTCAGTGGGAAGGTAACAGCGTTCCGTGTGCCTTAGTGTTTAGTCATGCCGGCCACATGACCATGGAAACGTCTTCGGACAGCACTGGCTCTTTGGCTTTGAAACGGAGATGAGCACCGCAACCCTAGAGTCGGATTCAACTGGCTTTCGAGCAAGGGAACCTTTACCTAAGATCCTTCCTCACTGAATGGGCACTGGAGACCAGTGCGCCTTCTAAGCTGTGGAGCCTTTGAGAGCAAAAATTCTACTTTGTGAGCTCCTGGCATTAAAGTTGTGAGCCAGCGATTTGGCTACTGCATAAATTAGTTTGCCCTGGAGCCGAAATGGAAACAAAATCCTGGAAAGACTGAAGTGATGCTGGTTGGGAAGGTGGAGGTCGTGAAGGACATCCCCCCCCCTCCGCTTTCCATGGAGAGTTCAGCTGACCCCTGCAGATTCACTTAAGAACCTCAGGGGCAGGGCTGGCCCCAGCTTATTTTGAATCCTAGGCGAGGATCCCTTCTGGTGCCCCCCCTATGCGCCCACCATTTTTCAAAAATAAATGCATTTTAGGAAGAATGAAAAACACAAATAATCAAGAAACACCCAAAGTATGGGGCCAGGTGCAGTTTGGCGCCCCTAAGGGCCAGCCCGCTCTAGGCGATCGCCTAGTTCGCCTAGTGAGTGAGCCGGCCCTGCTCAGGGGGTTTATTGGACCCAACAGGATTGCTGGAGAAGCAACTTGACATGGTTGCTCCTACTTGGCCCTGTAAACTTTCAGGCTTTGGAAAGGGGTGGGGGGGCAGTGTTCCCTCTAAGCTGAGTTAGTGTGAGCCAGATCATAGTTTTTTAGCCTCCGACTCACACATTTTTGTCTTAACTCAGGAAGGATGGCTCCAGAGCAAACTAATTTATGTAGTAGCCAAATCCCTTGCTAACGACTTTATTGCTAGTAGCTCACAAACTAGAATTTTTGCTCACAAGACTCCACAGCTTAGAGGGAACATTGGTAGGGGGAGATCTCTCCAAACAAGAAAACAAATGTTGGGTTTTAGGATGTTAGGGGGTGGGGGACAAAAACAGAATATCAAAGGAGGGCAGCGAACTGAACTGAAAAACAAAGTCTGAGTCCACTGGCACCTTTTAAGACCAACACAATTTTATTCAAGGTATAAGTATCTGGAGAAGTGTTCTGCCCAGAGGTAATTTCGGGGGGGATCGCGGGGGATCGCAGTTCCCCGGGTGAGGTACGGGGGCGGGGCACATGACGAAGCCCCGCCCCCTGCTTCCGGCCGCCCCGCTTCCGGCCCTCATTCAGCCAGGAGGAGGCAGGAGAAGAGGGAGGGTAAGTTGCTTCCTCCCTGCCTCTCCCCACCCCTGCCTGCCTGGGGCCAGGGAGGGTCTTCGCAGGGCTTCCTTGCACTCCCGCCGACCTTGCAGGTCCACTGTTGGGCCTCATGGGGCTCGGCAGTGGAGCTGCAAGGCCGGCGGCAGCGGCTGGGACTGTTGGGGGCGGGCTGTGTGGCCTCATGACACACTTCTGGTGATGTCAGGGGGTGTGGCATATGCTAATGAGTTATGCTAATGAGTTCCCCTAGCTCTTTTTCTACGAAATGACTCCTGGTTCTGCCAACACAGCTACCCACCTGAACTGAAAAACTTCTGAAGACAGGTAAAACTGTTTAAAATGACTGGTGGCATGAAAATGCTTCTGTTATACAAAATTTTTCTGCCCCCCTCAGGCTTCCTTCCTTCCGTCCTTCCGTCCTTCCGTCCTTCCTTCCTTTTTAAAGTAATTTGATTTCTTGAACCCACAATCCATTCCTTGGAAATAAAACTGGGCATTACTATCCTGGATCAGATGATTACAATCAGTATGCCAAGATTTCCTAGCATACTGAGAGGGAATTAATTAGTACCCACCTACAAAAGAGGCTGTCTGTTGCATCTCAGCATGATTTGAGGCCCAGACCATGCCTCCTTCAAACCAGTCAACCTCTACTAGGGAGGGGGGTAGATAATTCCATTGTCTCTCAGCATAGGGTGTGATTGGAAATCAGAAACAGCACGGGTTCGCAAGAAGGTATCCTCGCCTAGTGTGCAAAAACACCTGCCCTGTTCTGAAGGTATTGTTGGAAGTTTCCAAAGGGTTGCAAAATAAGATTCTAGCTGCTGTTACTACATGTATTATAAAGTATCTTTGATTTTTGTCAGATTCATCTGGTATACAATTCAGTAAAAACAACTCTGGTCGAAAAGGAATTGAAATCTGCAGAGCTGTCTGTATAAATTTATGTATCATAATCCAGAATTCACGTACAATTTCACATGTCCACCATATATGATAATAAAACATATCCTCCCTTTAAAAAGGAAGGAAGCTGAACAGTGAGGGAGAAATAAAGGTAGGTTGATGAGTGGCTGAGAAGTAGATAGGGTTGCCAACTCCAGGTGGGAAATTCCTGGAGATTTGAAGGATGGAACCTGAAGAGGGTGAGGTTTGAGGAGGGGCTGGACC